GGGGCAAATTAGAGATTTCATTTTCTTGTTGGGAGAATAATGCATCAAAATCATGTTGTTTGTTTGCAATTTTCTAAAACCTATTTCTGTGTTAGTAAGAGGGCCCTTCATAGCATGAAGCTTATCGTGATACTGGAAACAGAGTGTTTCCCTGGATTTTCAAATAATAACTTACTATTAAAAGATCCTAGTTGAAAGCTTGACAGATTAAAAAGCTTTCTATGTCTGCTAAAATGGAGAGTTAAGACCATAGTATTTTTGGAGAGATTTTTAAAATAATCTGTTTCCAAAAATACTAAAATAAGATCAGTTCTTTGAAATGAGATGAGATTGAAGAACAATCTATAACTTCCATATGCCAGTGTTGTAAAAAAAAATTGTCTTGGCATTGAAAGAACCTGATTAACAAAATAGCCCTTTGGCAGTACTCATGTTCCATTTAATTTTCCCTTGAGAGGAGGAAAGAGTAACTTTGAGGTCACAAAAATCAAAAAATATTGAAGCTTTTGAATCACTACTTAAAAATTAGTTCATCTAGTTAATATTCTTTCTTAAAACACCAACACAGATGTTTGGCCTCTCTGCCTTGAAACTAAATGCTTTTGTAAAAAAATGTTCAGAATGTCATCTTTAATCCCCATAAGTACATTGTTACAACAAGAATACAAATACTACCAAATCCCAAATTAGTAATAAAGAAGTAACTAAAAAAAAAAAAAAAGAGTATCACATTGTAAGCCAATTTATAACTGAGAAGGATTTCTCTACAAGGTTAAACAACAGGTACTCAAAGAACCACAGGATTCACTTTCTTGTGGGTACGGAATGCTGAAAGATAGCATATTTATTGTTTATCAATTAAGGAAAATTTGGAAGTAGCAAAAATATTCTTATCTTTTCTCCTCCAGAAACATCATTAATCAAAAGAAAAACGAGTATTTGCAGCCTAAGGGTTCCTGCTCTTCTGTAATTGATCTAATTGTATGTGCTAAAATTTGGAGAAAGCCATAAAAATTCCTTAGATAATGATCAGCACAGAAAGCGCTAATGGAAAAAAGCTAAAAATATAGTTTTTGTTGTTTCTACACTATGAGGGAATCAGACACTCACCTAACTTAAGGACTTCTAGAGACCTTGATCTGTTACTTCTCCTTTATTCTCTATAATAACAGTAACAGAGTAACAAAAAGATGTGACTTTTTAGGGCAAGTTTATTATATTTCATTTTTATTATGATGCTTAAAATTTCCATTGCACAAAAATGAGAATCCTTTCCTAAATTATAAAAGTAATAGATTTTATGTATTTTACCTAATTTAATTGTGTGTTTCAAGCAGAAGGATTTAAGTTGGAAGTTCAATCTTTTCTAAACACACCAGAGATAATCACTGTTAATGATATAGTGTAAATATCCTTCCCCTACAATGTACTTATGGGGATTATCTGTGTATCACATACACATAGATACACACATACATGTACTTTCAGATGAAATTGTAGCATAATATCTACTTTATTTATCTTCCTTTTTTGCTTATCGAGCAATGTGTAATGTAAGTTTTCTGTATCAATATACACCTGTGGTATTTAATAGCCGAATAATATTCTAAGGAAGAGCTGCACTAAAATTAATCACAATCATTTCCAGTCTTGTGAATAGACTTACACATCCTACAATGTGCTTTTTACATGTTCATATTTTTGATGCTAGACTGAATCAATGTGGCTATTAAGAATTTCTGGGAAAGAAATTCTTCAAAATTAACTTGAGAAGATGAATACACCCTGTTAAAAAAAATCTAAGAGCAGTACTGTAAGTCATAAAATAAGTGTAATTATAAAGTTATAAAGAATAATGACACAACAAATGCTATTATATGTAAACAGAATATTACCATTACCTTTAAAGATCCTCATAATCACTGTTATTCTTCTTTCAGAAGAAATTTTCTTAAATATTTTTTTTTAAAGATTTTATTTATTTGAGAGACAGAGTTACACACAGTGAGAGTAAGAGAAAGAAAGGTCTTCCATCTGTTGGTTCACTCCTCAGGTGGCCGTTATGGCTGGAGCTGCGCCAATTCGAAGCCAGAAGCCAGGTGCTTCTTTTCCCAATCTCCCACATGGGTGCAGGGGTCCAAGGGCTTGGGCCATTTTGTACTCCTCTCCCAGGCCACAACAGAGAGCTGGATTGGAAGAGGAGCTGCCAGGACTAGAACTGGCGCCCATATGGGATGCCAGCGCTGCAGAGGATTAACCTACTGTGCCACAGCACTGGACCCTTATTTCTTATTATCTTGATTTTTCTTAACACTTTTACTTTTAAGTTTGTATTGACTTTAAGTTTTACAAGTTTGTATCATTAAACTAAATATCCCTTAATAAAATACATTTTTGGATTTTATTTAAGTGGAACTATATCCTGTCACCTTTTTATTTTTGCAGAAGATGATCTTACCTAAGATTCATCCACATTGTTCCTCATAGGTTGAATTTATTCATTTTCTCTGCTAGATAAGATTCTATTGTAAGGATACAATGATTTATTTTCCCATCCTAACACAGGATAGCACATGAGTTGTTTCAAATTTTCTACTATTTTGGATAATGTGTCTCTGAACATTCTTGTACAAGTTTTTGGTGTAGGTTCGCAAGAGCTCCACTAGGAATAAAATCCTTGGGTCCTCAAATATGTTTAATGGCTGGCGCCGCGGCTCACTAGGCTAATCCTCCACCTGCAGCACTGGCACCCCAGGTCGGGGCGCCGGATTCTGTCCCGGTTGCTCCTCTTCCAGTCCAGTTCTCTGCTGTGGCCTGGGAGTGCAGTGGAGGACAGCCCAAGTCCTTGGGCCCTGCACCCCATGGGAGACCAGGAGAAGCACCTGGCTCCTGGCTTCGGATCAGCGCGATGTGCTGGCTGCAGCGCGCCGGCTATAGCAGCCATTGGGGGATGAACCAACGGCAAAAGGAAGACCTGTCTCTCTCTCTCTCTCACTGTCCACTCTGCCTGTCAAAAAATAAATAAATAAATATGTTTAATATGCAGTTTTATAAGGTAATAAATTATTTATTCTCATCTTATTAACTATATCTTACAATTTTAAAAGTGGTTGTCCTCTGGTGAATTCTGTTCACCAACAGAATTTACACGTCTCATTTATTTCCTAACTTTGCCAACAGTGGATATTATTATTATTTGTTAAAGATTTATTTATTTATTTATTTGAAAGAGTTACACAGAGAGAGGAGAGGCAGAGAAAGAGAGAGAGAGGGAGAGAGAGGTCTTCGATCCGCTGGTTCACTTCCTAATTGGCTGCAACGGCTGGAGCTGCACCAATCCTAAGGCAGGAGCCAGGAGCTTCCCCTGGGTCTCCCACGCGGGTGCAGGAGCCCAAGGACTTGGGCCATCTTCTACTGCTTTCCCAGACCATAGCAGAGAGCTGGATCGGAAGTGGAGCAGCCGGGACCTGAACTGGCACCCATATGGGATGCCGGCGCTTCTGGCCAGGGTGTTAACCTACTGAGGAAACAGTGCGGGCCTCCGTGGATATTATTTTAAATTCTGCCATTAGGGAGTGTAAAACACCACCACACTGTGATTTTAATTTGTATTTCTTTAATTATTGACATATGTCATCTTTTTTCATTCCTTTAGTAATCGGGTTCAGCTTTTATTTTATTTTTGAAGGATGTTTTTAAAAAAAGATTTGCCTATTTATTTGAAAGGCAGAGTTACAAAGAAAGAAAGAAAGACAGAGAGAGAGAGAGAGAGAGAGAAGAGAGAGAGAGTGAGAAAGAGAGAGCGAGAGAAAGATGATGATCTCTCTGCTGGTTTACTCCCAGACTGGTTGCAATGGCCAGGGTTGGGCCAGGTGGAAGCCAGAGTCAGGAACTTCACTCAGGTCTGCCACATGGTTGGCAGAGGTCCAAGCAATTAGGCCTTCTTCCACTGCCTTCTCAGAAACATTAGCAGGGAGTTGAATGAGAAGCAGAACAGCCAGTACTCACACTGGCACCCATATGGGATACTTGTGTCACAGGCTTAACCTACTATGCCACAATACTGGCCACAGATCATCTTTTTTAGATGGTCTTTTTATACCCTTATCCAGGTAGGTTTTCCCCTCCTTTGAGATACTTAAACATTTTACCTATTTTAAATTAGATTGAGAGGTCAGTGTTGTGGTGTGGCAGGCTAAGCCGCCATCTGTGATGCTGGGATCCCACATCAGAGCAGCTGTTCATGTCAGGATGGCCCAAGTCCTTTGGCCCCAGACCCCTGCACCCATGTGGGAGACCTGGATTCTGTTCCAGGCTCCTGGCTTCAGTCTGGCCCAGGTCTGGCAGTTGTGGGCATGTGGGCACATAAGTTCATATGCATATTTTGATGTGCGCTGGAAATATCTGTGTTTTACACAAAGTGCTTAGTAAAAACTGAATTAAAGAATTGATTTAGTATCTGGATTATCTACCATTCACTGCCTTTCACCTTGGTAGTATAATTGAAAGTTCAAGTAATATATAACCAAATGCTTTAAAGACAACTTTATTTTTCAAACAGCTGATTATAGAACTAGTAATTTAGTATTTTTAACAGAAATGAAGACCGAATAAAAACCAGAGTATTTATCTTGTGTTTCTGTGTGGGTGCAACTGTTGAAAGCTTTACTTAATATATGCTAAATTGATCTTCTGTATATAAAGACAACTGAAAATGAATCTTGATGTGAATGGAAGAGGAGAGGGAGCGGGGGGAGCCATTGTAATCCATAAGCTGTACTTTGGAAATTTATATTCATTAAATAAAAGTTAAAAAAACATAGTATTTATCTCAAGTAATGAATAATGTTTCTTTCAAAAAGGTTATACATATTGGCTTTTTATAGCTTTGGCAGGCTCAAGCATTTGATATATTGATTAATTACTAAATCTCCTGGAAAAAATAAAAAGTATTCTCAAGTAAGAGAAATAACCCCCCCAAAAAAAATCCTAAAAATTACCTGTAGAGTACAGTTCATCATCCTTATTATGTAGTCAAACTGTTGATGGTCTAATATTGCCCGGTTCTGTTGGACATGCAAACCCAGTTCATCAGTGAGACATTGTCTTGCTGCCTTTCCTTTAAGGGCTCTCAGAGCAGCAGGAAGGGTCTAAGGACAAGAGTGAGTGGTATAAATGATCACAAGGTTCCACAGGAAGAAAATTACATTCAGGCAACTGCACTGAAAATTCAAATACATCTTGTAAACCAGTTAACAAAAATATTGGTAGAATTAAACTGCTATGGGAGAAGTAACATAGGAACAAATAAGAAAGGAAAGAAAACAAGGGAGGAGAGCGTAATATTGTTACAAGAAATAGCATGTGAAGATGAAGAAAATATGGAAACTTAAAAAGGTCAAAACAGAGAGGTTTGGGACATGAGGTGTTAAGAGTAAACACTTTTGGCCGGTGCCTCGGCTCAATAGGCTAATCCTCTGCCTGTGGCGCCAGCACCCCGGGGTTCTAGTCCTTGTTCTGTCCCGGTTGCTCCTCTTCCAGTCCAGCTCTCTGCTGTGGCCTGGGAAGGTAGTGGAGGATGGCCCAAGTGCTTGGGCACTGCACCCGCATGGGAGACCAGGAGGAAGTACCTGGCTCCTGGCTTCGGATTGGCGCAGCGCGCTGGCCGTAGCAACCATTTGGGGTGTGAACCAACAGAAAGGAAGAACTTTGCCTCTGTCTCTCTCTCTCTCACTGTCTAACTCTGCCTGTCAAAAAAAAGAGTAAACACTTTTAACAGGCTTTATCAGTTCCTCATAACAGATATTTATAACTAGGACAATGAGTCATTAAGAAAAGTTTATGTTACATTGAAGAAGGCAAGAAAAGATGCTTCAAGAGAGACATTTAAAATCTATAATCTATTACATATTCTAGCTAGATTATTTGCAATGAGTAAACTATATTTAAAATGTTAAGTTTCTAAGTATATGCAAAATAAGGTTTAATGAACAATATATAAAAATTTGAGAGGAAAAGTTACTAATAAGATTTTGTTCAGAGTCATATAATTAGGCTTGGATTATAGCTTTACATTTTAGAAACTATTCATTTAAAATGAATGCAACAATGAAAGGACTCTTTATTAGGAAAGGCAAAGAATTAGAGGAGAGGACAGTTGGTAATCTCCACATGTACATACGAAATGAAAGTGATAAATGCTTACTTGGTAAAGATGTTATTTTATTACCTTTTCAGTCTCCAAAGTTTTATTTTCAAATATGAATGAGATGCAGTTTCTGACAACTTCCAGTCTCTGTGCACTGTTGAAAACTGTTGTCACCTTATCCATTATTGAAACTATTATAGAAATAAAAAAGTAACACAAGTAAATTGAGCTCTTTTGGCAATTACAAAAGCAAGAGGAGTATTACTTTAAGATTGCTTACACAACCGACATGTAGAGTTTATTTTTGTCCTTGTTACATTGTATTGCAAGTATTCCATTTCATTATTTTGATTATATTTTTAGGTTCCTTAAGTGTCAGGCTAGTCAACAGATAATTTCATAGGAACATTCTAATAATGTACTTAAATATTATGTAAATACTTCATATTTTAAAATTTTACTAAACAAAGATAAACATCTACATTAAAGTTTAATCTTAAACAAATTGATAAGAAATGTTTAGGGTATGTACAAGACCACAAAAAAAAATCACTAATGCTCATATGCAAAAGGATCAGTGACAGAAAAAGAAGCTGATATCCCTAATATATTACTAAAGAAAAACTATATATCTAAACAAAACAATCAGACACTATAAATTTGAGTACTGGAAACTTGGATGGAGGAAGCAGTATTAAAAAAAAGATCGTAGCCAATGAATTGCTATACCGGCTTAGGAAAGTCACTTTTCAGTCCTATGACATAACACATTTCACCTTTCATCATAGGGTAGTTAAATTCTAGACTACTACATAGCCTAAAGTTGCTTAAAAAGATTTAAGTTATTAAAAAATAGGACATAAATGAAAATGACTGTGTAAAAAGGTACACTTTCAAAAAGAACTCTATCATTTGTACAAATGAGGACATATCAGTTTTTATGCTTAAACCAAACTCAAAGATTGCTTATATATATATATATATATATATTTATTTATTTTTTTTGACAGGCACAGTGGACAGTGAGAGACAGAGAGAAAGGTCTTCCTTTTCCGTTGATTCATCCCCCAATGGCCGCTGTGACCGGCACACTGCGCTGATCCGAAGCCAGGAGCCAGGTGCTTCTCCTGGTCTCCCATGCAGGTGCAGGGCGCAAGCACTTGGGCTGTCTTCCACTACCTTCCCAGGCCACAGCAGAGCTGGACTGGAAGAGGGGCAACCGGGACAGAATCTGGCGCCCCGACCGGGACTAGAACCCGGGGTGCCGGTGCTGCAGGCGGAGGATTAGCCTAGTGAGCCGCGGCGCTGACCAAGACTACTTATATTTTATGACTTCTCTTTGGAATCTAAATGCACAATCCTTTCAACTTATCCTCTTACCACTAGTCTCCCTGTCATCTCATCAGTACAAAAACTTTTATTATTCCAATAATGTTTTAAACTTTTTCATCTCAAAATAATTGCAAAAATAGTACCCAGAGTATCCAGGTATTCAATCACTCAATCTTCCCCTATGTTGACATCTTACGTAACATAGTGCTTTATCAGAATAAGGAATTCAATAGCACAATACAGTAACTAGCCTACTGACCCTATTTGGATTTTATCAGTTTTTTCCAATAGTTTTTAATAATGTATCATCAATTTTCTGCATGACAATGATGGTTAAATTGATTATTTCATATGACTTTTCTGTCCAAAATGCTCTTCTTTAATTATGGACTCTGGTATGCCCTGCACATGTGGGTCAGTGCCACAGAATGAAACATACAATGTCTATATTAGGGACAGAATTATGTCACAGTAGTTTAGGCTGCTGCTCTGCTCCCAATCCAATTCCCTGTTGGTTGATGTACCTGGGAAGGCAATGGCAGATAGCCTAAATGCTTGGGCTTCTGCCACCCATATGTGTGAGACATGGATGGGATGGAGTTTGTGGTTTCTGGCTTTAGCCTGGGTGTGGCAACCATCTGGGGAGTGACCTAGTGGACAGAAGATATGTCTCTCTGTTGCTCTGGCTTTCAAATATACAAATACATATATGCATTTCTAAAAAAAAATCTGTCTATACTAGATTAGAAAATTTTTTTACAATCTCCAAACAATATTATATACTTTACTGGGAGAGCAATATCTTGAAGTTATGTTTATAGACTTTTAATTCTATAGCTCTTCAAAAAATTTTAAAAGTATTTTAAATTTTTTTTAGGCTGAGCTATTAGAAAACAAATTTTCTGGGGCTCCACCTTGTGGCACCGGCACACCGGGTTCTAGTCCCGGTCGGGGCGCCAGATTCTGTCCCGGTTGCCCCTCTTCCAGGCCAGCTCTCTGCTGTGGCCAGGGAGTGCAGTGGAGGATGGCCCAAGTGCTTGGGCCCTGCACCCCATGGGAGACCAGGATAAGTACCTGGCTCCTGTCATCGGATCAGCACGGTGCGCCGGCCGTGGCGGCCATTGGAGGGTGAACCAACGGCAAAAGAAAGACCTTTCTCTCTGTCTCTCTCTCTCACTGTCCACTCTGCCTGTCAAAAAAAAAAAAAAAAAAAATGTTCTCAAACTAAATAACAATAAGGGTTGCATAATTCAGTGAGAATCACTGAACTGTATTCTCTAAATGGGAGAATTTATGGTATGTGAATTCTAACTAAGTAAAGCTCTTACAAAAAAAGAAGATTCTGTAGTGGTAACAGGTTAATAATTATCTCTGTGGGAGGTAGTGAATGCAACAGGGTTTCAGGTGTGATGGTGGTCTGATTTCAGTTACATGAGTATGTCCACTTTGTGTAAATTCACCAAATTGGATGCTTTTCTGTGTCCTACATATTGATAATAGGATTATTTTTAAAAGGCAAATACATACCAACAGGTGGACCTGCTGGCACAACGCATTTCTTTTCCACTCGTGTAGCTGGAGGAGCATTCTGGTTCTTAGCAAGATTTTCCTGTATTAACTCTTGAACTCGAGATTCATTAATCTTTGGAAAAGGGAGAATATGAACTCGCAAATGGGATCCTTCTGTTGGGCGTGGAACTTTCTGGAATGCCATATGAGGATTTGGATTCTCCTGCAATATCAAACACAGTAAAATTATTCAGAAGTTTAAATAACAATGGCAGATCATCAGGAAGGAGTAGGAGCATAGAGGGACACAACTGAAATCATACAGAAGAGTGTATAAACATTCACATATATACCATAAAATAGAGAGTTCTGGAATCTGACTTATGCTATCAGAAGCATCTGCAAGAGTTGGCCATGAGTCTTCATCTTCCATGCACACTTTCCTCTCTCAGTTTCTAAGTCTTCTTTTTCCATTTTTGTCTATTCCTCATTTCTCCAATCTAACTGTGTGAATACCTCAGGGGCTCAGTTCTTTGGACCTCTTCCTTGGTGAGCACTTCTAGTCTTCTGCTTTTAAACCATAAAAACACCAATGATTCACAGATTTTTACAAACGAATGTGCTTTCCCCTAAACTCCATTCCCATACATCTGTCCACACATAGATATTCTTACATTTAAAATAACATCAAAAACCATGTCTAAAATGAAGTTCTTAATTTTCATCCATTACTCTAAACACGCTTTCTTCAGTGTTCCTCCTTTGGTAAATGGCATATGTATTTTTTCTAGTTACTCAGGTGAAAAGCTTATAGTCATCTTTAGTGACTTTCTCTAACAAGCACTAATCTATTCCTCTATAAACTGAGTTTAGTTTAGTTTTTTTTTTTTTTGACAGGCAGAGTGGACAGTGAGAGAGAGAGATAAAGGTCTTCCTTTTGCCGTTGGTCACCCTCCAATGGCCGCCGCGGCCGGCACGCTGCAGCCGGCGCACCGCGCTGATCCCAAGGCAGGAGCCAGGTGCTTCTCCTGGTCTCCCTTGGGGTGCAGGGCCCAAGCACTTGGGCCATGAGTTTAGCATTTTGGTTCAAACCTCTCATTATAAAACGGTAGTCACCTAACTGCCTCCCCACTTCTTACTTGGTCCCCTCCCTCAGGACTACAGACTTATCTAGTTGAAAGGATGTCAAGTCATTACATAACTAATCTGTTCACTCAAATGACTCTTCATTTCAGACTGAAACTCAAAGTTCTACATATCTACAAGATATGGCCTCTTAACATGACTATGTCCTACCATACTACTGCTTCTTTCATTCTTTCTGCTCTAGACACAGGTCTTCTTGTAACTGCCTCACAGTCACTGAACATACCTGTTCCTTCTGCCCAGAACGCCTGCACCCCTATGAATTTGTACAGTATGTGCCTTCCCTCCTTTCATTTGTTTGCTCAAATGTCATCTATTCTGGTCACTCAATCTAAAACCAGGCCTTCCTCCCCAACATACTCCCTATTTTCATTGAATTTTTATTCCCAAGTACTTACCACTTTCTTATGAACTATAAATTTAACTTATTGCCCATCCTTCTCTCACTAATAGCAGATGTTTTAGTCATTTAAAAAAAATTTTTTTAATCCTCTGCTGTTTCCCTGTACATCTAGAAACTGCCTTAGCAGTTTAGCAGTGTTTAGCAGGCGCTTAAACCACTTCCTACTGCATCCTAGTGAGAGGGACACAATGTTGAACACAAATCAGGATTGTAATAACTGAATTAAATTTGTCAGCTAAGATTCTTATAGACCCTCAGCGCTTGTGTGAACTTCTATCTAGCCTCTTGGTTAGGCAGGATTGTATTTAAAATACTGCAGCCATAGAATTCATCAAGTTCTTTGGGGAAGGTTGCTTTATAACCATTTTTAGATCAACTGTAGTGTTTATTGTCCTCCACAACCAGAAAATTCCTATTCCCACTAAACTTATGTTATTTATGTTGTAGATTAAAGTCAGTACCACACCAAACACCCTCCTGACAGTGAAAATTAACCAACTGTCAACAACTAATAGAGTTGCTCTCCACAATTCTATGTGAGTATGTGGCCCTAATCCAGATAAACAGATTGGGCTACAGCAGATGATATAGTTCGCATATCTCGGCAGAATGGAAATACTACTACTGTGTAAAAGTGTCTAGTTCTTGCTCTACACCTCACTATGTGATGCCAGAAAGATAACTCTGCCTAAGGAATATACTCAGGCTTATCTTACAGGTTTCCTGAGAAGGTAAAATTACTTCTTGCCAAGCAGCTCTCACATAAGCCTTATATTTTTCCCCTACATCAGCAAAGACAGGGAAAAATTAATAAGTTTTAATGTAAAGTCTTAGTGACGTTTTCTAAACCACATGTCCTAAAATTCTGCCTTGTATTAACAACTCTATCCCTCGACCATTGGTCTGTAATGTCTGAAATTGCCCTTTTTAAAAAGTTGTAGGTTTGTTCTTTGTTCTTTAGACATCACGCCTGTCATTTCAAAAATTCTAAAACATATTGGGTAATTTTTTTTTCAGGTTGAGGAGGTAACTCACATGGATCTTGAGGTCTGAATCATTTTAAATATATTCTTCACTATTTCTATTTCCACATGTATTTATTTTATTTACATTAAAAAGTACGCAGAGAAAGAAAAATCTTGTCAATAATGGTTCTGGGAAAACTGGAGATACATATGCACAACAAAGAAACTAGACCCTTCTCACTCACCATATTAAAAAAATTAATTCAATATAGAAAGACTTAAATGTAAGACCTCAAATCATGAAACTACTAGAATAAAACAAGATAAATGCTTCAAGACATTGGTCTGGACAAAGGCTTTTTGGATGTGTCATCCAACTTCTGCATCAAAAGCAGAGGTTGATAAATGGAATTACATCAAATCAAAAAGCTTTGTGTCTCTTTGTACAGAGACAACCTACAGAGAGACAACCTACAGAATAAGACAACCAACAGAAGAGAGAATGGAGAGACAACCTACAGAATGAGAGAAAATATTTGTGAGCTATTCATCTGACAGAAGATTAATTTCCAGAATGTATAAGGAACTCAAATAACTCAACAGAAAGAAAGAAAAAAATCCTCTGGTTTTAAAATAGGTGAAAGATCTGAATAGAAGGCCGGCGCCGCGGCTCACTAGGCTAATCCTCCGCCTGTGGCGCCGGCACACTGGGTTCTAGTCCTGGTCGGGGCGCCGGATTCTGTCCCGGTTGCCCCTCTTCCAGGCCAGCTCTCTGCTATGGCCTGGGAGTGCAGTGCAGGATGGCCCAAGTGCTTGGGCCCTGCACCCCATGGGAGACCAGGAGAAGCAACTGGCTCCTGGCTTTGGATCAGCGCGGTGTGCTGGCTGCAGCGCGCCGGCCGCGGCAGCCATTGGAGGGTGAACCAACGGCAAAAAGGAAGACCTTTCTCTCTGTCTCTCTCACTGTCCACTCTGCCTTTCAAAAAAATTAAAAAAAAAAAAAAAGATCTCAATAGATATGTCTCAGATGAGGACAAATAGCTAGCCAGCATATTTTACTTCATTTTTTAAAACTTACCATCTTAGCCTTTTTTTTTTTTTTTTAAAGATTCATTTATGTATTTGAAAGGCAGAGTGACAGAGAGAGGACGAGACAGAGGAAGAAAGCTTCCATCTGCTGATTCACTCCCAAAATGGCCTCAAAGCCAGGTCTGGGCTAGGTTAAAGCCAGGAGTCAGAAACTCCATCCTGGTCTCTCATATCAGTAGCAGGGGCCCAAGTACTTGGGCCATCATTGCCTGCTTTCTCAGGTACTTTATTAAGAAGGCAGATTGGAAGCAGAGTTGGTATTATAAGTGGTGGCTTAACTGTGCCACAAGGCCAGTCCCAACAAGCATACTTTAAAGAGTTTGATATTACTAATCATCAGGGAAATGCAAACCAAAACCACAATGAAATATTATCTTGCCAGCTAGAGAATGGTTACTACCAAAAAGACATAAATGCTTGTGAGGATGCAGAGAAAGGGGCAATTCTTAAGACACTCTTGGCAGGAATATAAATTAGTATAACAGTGTGGAAAACAGTATAGAGCTCCCTCAAAAGCTGGGATTGATCCCACTACTGGATTCCCAGCAATCCTACTATTGGGTATAAATATCTGAAGGAACCAAAATCAGTGTGTTGAAGAGACACCTGAAGTCACATGTTTATTGCAGCACTATTCACAGTAGCCAAGATATAGAATCAACTAAGTATCTACTGACACGAATAAAGAAAATGTGGCATATATATATATATATATAATATGATATTATTTAACCATTAAAAATTAAATTCTGTCATTTGGAACAACAGGGAAAGAATTGAAGAACATTATGTTATAGGAAAAGTCAGGCATAGAAAGATAAATATTGCATGATCTCACTTACATGTGAAAGCTAAAAAAGTTGATTTCAAAAAAGTAGAGAATAGAGTAGAGGTTACCAGAGACTGGGAAAGGTATGAGGGACGGAGAAATGGAGAGAGGAGGTGTACAACTGGAAAGGAAGAATAACTTCTAATGTTCCATAGCATAGTAGTGTAACTATTATTGAAAATAACTATTTCAAAGTAGCTGGTATGGAGGATTCTCAATGTTCTGAACACAAAGAAATGAATGATAAATGTCTTTGGTGATAAGTATGTCAATTATTTGGTCTTAACATTAAATATTACATCCATGTATTAAAATGTCACACTGTGCCCTCTAAGTAGGTAGTTACAATGTGTCAGCTGAAAACAAAAACACATTGAAAAATTAAAATTATAACTTTATACATCCTAAAACATACTCATTTTAACAAACTTTAAAATAAAACATAGGAAAATAAAAGTAGAACTTTTCCTAATGATGACAGTTTTCCAGTTATATTTTCTCTCTTACTCTTACTTTTTATCTTCTGTATTGTTGACTTAAGGTGGTTTAGAAAAATAAGTATGCACATGTCACTTCTAGTCAAAGTCTCTAAAGAGCTTGTTCTATAATGTGGCAAGTTCATTATAACCTTTATGGGGAAGAACAAAGACCCAAAAGATGGCCAAGTAAATTCTAATGAAGAGTTAAGTGGGAGAGTCACACTTTTCCAGATACCAAAACTCGCATAAACCTTTAATAATTGATACAGTATGACAACTGGTATTAAAGAAGGGCTTAAGGGACAAATGTAA